GCACCAAGGTATTTGCAGTTTGAAGAAATCGTAAAATTTAACTTATCAGCTTAATAAAAATGTGGAATGGAAATGAGCTGACACTGTTTCGCTGATTTGCATAAAGACATTGAAATCGTTCCTGAAATATAAAAAGACTTCGATATCGTTTCAACATCGAATACACTCTACTTGACTGATTTGTATAACGACATTGAACTCGTTCCTGAAATACAAAAAATAATGTATATGTCGTTTCGATATCAAACACACATAGGTGCACGCTATGGAATAAGTAAACAACGTTATGTCTTTTCAATTCAATTTTCGACGAGAATGATATCGTTCATATTCAATCGTAACTATAATGTCATACATATCGTTTTAGGAGTGGTTACACTAGAACGTTATAACTACGATATTAAATGTAATTATAATTTACATATTTTCGTGACTTTTTATAATTTTCAAGTTTACATATTGTACATATTCAGAATGTGAACATTGTGCATATTCATGTAACGATATACACTTCGTTCCGGTGACACATAAAGTCGTTGATGCCTTCAACATACGTAGAACGATCGAAAAATGTCATTAAGTGGATTGATAGAGCTCGAATGACTTAAAAAGAGTGAACGAAAATACTTTCTGTTTGAATAGTTCGAAGGTGGTATACAATCATGAGAACAAAAATGTTCTCATAGTTTCTTTTGAAGAAGATCGAACTCACTTAATTATCTATTTTGATTATCCTACATATGTCAGATGCACGTTTGGTGGTCGTGGACGATCGAATTGTTATTTTTACATAAACGATATAATTGTTGTTTTATTTTAATTGAAATGATATGTATGTAATTTTAGTTATGATTTAAGTTAAAACGATATCAACATCATCAAACTTGTATTGAAACGATAATGACATCGTTATGTATCAAAATCACAAATAAAGTAACGACATTCATATCGTTTTAGTACAAATTTGACGAGTTTGAAATCGTTCGAATTCAAATCACAAGTATAACAACGTAAATATCGTTTCTTTTAATATAAAACGATAATTATACCGTTCTATTTAAAAATAATGATTCGACCGTCCACAACCACTCGTCATGCCTTCAACATACGTAGAACGATCGAAAGATATCATCAAGTGTGTTGATACCACTCGAATGACTTCGAAAGAGCAAACGAAAATACTTTCTATCGGAATAGTTCGAAGGTGGTATACAATCATGAGAACAAAAGTGCTTTCATAGTTTCTTTTGAGGGAGATTGGACCCACTTGATTATCTACTTTGATCATCCTATATATGTCAAATACACGTCTGGTAGTCGTGAACAGTCGAGTCATTATTTTTAATATAAACGATATAATTGTCATTTTATTTTAATTGAAACGATATGTATGTAGTTTTAGTTATGATTTAAACTAAAACTATATCAACATCGTCAAACTTGTATTGAAACGATAATAATATCGTTATGTATCAAAATCCCAAATAAAGTAACGACATTCATATCGTTTTAGTACAAATTTGACGAGTTTGAAATCATTTTAGTTTAAATAATGACTATAACGATATAGATATTGTTTCTTTTCATATAAAACGTTAATTATATCGTTTTGACTGAAAATAACGATTTGACCGTCCACAACCACTCAACACGTCTTTAACATACCTAGGACGATCGAAAGAAGTCATCAAGTGGGTTGATGACATTCAAATGGTTTAGAAAGAACGAACGAAGATACTTCTTTCTGTCGAAATATTTCGAATGTTGTATACAATCGTGGGAATGGAAATATTTCCATAGTTTCTTTTGAGTGAGATCAAACCCACTTGATTATCTATTTTGAGTATCCTACATATGTCATATTCATGTCTGATGGTTGTGGACGGTCGAATCATTATTTTTAGCAAAAACGATATAATTGTCGTTTTATTTTAATAGCAACGATATCTATGTAGTTTTAGTTATGATTTAACCCAAAACGATATCAATGTCGTCAAACTTGTATTGAAACGATAATGATGTCGTTATGTATCAGACTTACAAATAAAATAACGACATTCATATCGTTTTAATACAAATTTGACGAGTTTGAAATCGTTCCAGTCCAAATAATAACTATAACGACATAGATATCGTTTCTTTTCATATAAAATGTTAATTATAACATTTTGACTAAAAACAACGATTCGACCGTCCACAACCGCTCAACACGTCTTCAACATACCTAAGACAGTCGAAAGAAGTCATCAAGTGGATTGATGACATTCAAATGACTTAGAAATAACGATCGAAGATACTTGTTTTTATAGGAATAGTTCGGATGTTGTATACAATCGTGGGAACAGAAATGTTCCCATAGTTTCTTTTGAGTGAGATCAAATCCACTTGTTGACCTATTTCAATCGTCCCATTTATGTCGAATACATGTCGGGTGGTCGTGGATCGTTGAATCGTTGTTTTTAGCAGAAACGATATATATAACATAACGTCGTCCAATGACATTATCGTTTCATATAACATAACGTCGTCCATATCGTTTCATTACAAATTTGACAAGTTCGAAATCGTTACAGTTCAAATAATAACTATAACGACATTGGTATCATTTCTTTTCACTTGCAACGACAATTATATCGTTATGCTTAAAAATGATGATTCGACTATCCATGGCCACCCGGCATACGTCAGTAGTACATATGACGATAAAAATAGGCCATTAAACAGGTTCAATCTCACTCAAACGAAACTACGAAAACATTTGTGATTCCATAATTGTCTTTCACATTCAAATTGTTTCAATAGAAATACGTATCTTCTTTGGCTCCTTCTGAAAATTGTGCTGAAACGACATAGATGTTGTTTACTTATTCCATAGCGTTCGCTAAGCCTTTTAAGTAGTTAAGCAATGTGTATTTTATATCAAAACGACATACACATCATTGTTGTGTTTCAAAAATGATTTCAATGTCGTTACGCAAATCAATTAAGCAATGTGTTTATAATACCGAAACGATATAGATGTCGTTTTGTGTTTCAGGAACGATTTCAATATCGTTATAAGGGCATTTTAGTCCTTTACAAATTGAATTTTCCATATTTAATAACTTTGGGCCTTTTAAACAAAAACCTTAACTGTTGGTCTTCTTAAACTAATGTTTAGTTTGACTTGCCTTTTTAACTCAATCCCCCAAGAAATTTACAGTAAGTAAAGACAGAAAAAGCGCTGGAGATCTTTTTCTGTCGGATGTTGGAGTCACGTGCTTGTGCACGGGACTGATGCCCACTGTTCTATGGATAAAACTATTTGTACAATATTTGGTGGATAAAATAATTTACACACTCTCACGTACATGCGGATCCTCCTTGCATTAAAAAATTTGGCCATGTGGTCCCTACCATTTTATTGTGAGTGTGTAAAATTTTTAGTACAAATGTGTTTGTACATGTAGCACAATCCCTGTTTTATTTTGCTCCTTGTTTAGCTGAGGGCATAACCCAATGAAGGAGGCCATTGTCATATTTCCATAAATTTGAGTGATAATTGCAGCCAAGACTCCAAATCTTTCAAATAATAGTATACTTTATTCAAAATTTTGATTTGTTGTAACTGTCACCTCCAACCTTTTTAAACATTGCAAGTGAGTTCCAATGGATGGAAATCATCTAATTTATCGTTAGTTGACAAAAAAATTGAATTTGACCACATTTTTAATATTTTTATAGAGAGCAAAGTAGTAATTTTCTATTTACCAAATTAAATAATTATATTCATTAAATTAAAAAAAAAAACCAAAAAAGGGAGAAAATCTGTATCTTCTTCCTCCCATCCCTTTCCCAACCTACCTAGCCCCACCCTAACCAAAACCATCGCCGTTGCCACCACCCCCTCATTCTTCATCCTCCAATCACCAAACACCATTAAAGAACGTCTTCTTTTTATTTGTCAGTCGGACTTTGCAAATTGAATTTTCATCAAGAGTTCGGATATTGTTAATTTGACTAGCCATGAAGGAAAATTACAAATCCTTGTCCTCATTGTCAACTCCGTCCCAAGCCAAGACACAAGACACAATAGTACTAAACAATCAACCGCCACCATTCTCAAATTCATTAACTTTGTGTTGTAAATAAGACAAGAAAAGAATATCATCACCAATATTTTTCCCAACGTCTTCATTGCTTTATGTGCTGGTAGGTAGTAGTGTGAAGTATTTACTATCGACAATAGCAACAACCAGAACCAGAAGAGTTATACGTTGTATACGTATGAATGTTGGAAGATGACTGGTTTTGTTTTGGATAAATTTGACATTCAATCATTGTATACTGGGCAAACTCTTGATTGGGTCACTAAACTTTTAATATATTTCAATTGGATCGCTAAATTTTCAGTTTAAGGAAAGGGTGAAGAGTGACGTGGTGGTGGCAACGGCAATGGTGACGATCTTGGTCAGGGTGGGGTTGGGAAGGATGGGGAGGAAGAAGTTACATATTTTTTTCCCTTTTTTTTGGTTTTTTAATTTCATTAATGTAATTATTTGCCCTCCATAAAAATATTAAAAATATGTGGTCAAACTCAATTTTTTGGTCAACAAACGGTAAATTGAATTTTTTTCATCCATTGGCCCTCGCCTGCAACGTTTAAAAATGCTGAGGGCGACGGTTTCAACAAATCAAAGATTTGAGGAAAGTTTGCTAGTGTTTGAAAGGTTTTGAGCCTCTGGTGCAATTATCCCTAAATTTAGTTATTGGATTGATTAGCAGTGTCAAAGTCAGTAGAACTTGAAACAAGTAACCAGTAATAACCTTAGAACATATTCTTTAAACATACTATTTTAAAGTATCAATATTTAAAATCATGCACTAAAATACTCTTTTTATTAATATTTTAATTTGAAAAGTCAAACACACTCTATATAATTAAATATATTTAAAGTATTTTAATTTTCAGTGTAAGAAAATAATAAAATAATATAAAGAAAAACTAGTTAAAATAATAATTTTTTTTGGAAGAAGTAAAATTAATTGTTAAATATAAAGAATTTGTTGAAAATATTTTAAAATTTTAACTCTCTAAATTTATAAATACTCTCCAAATTATAGAATGTGTTATTTAAAAATAGAGAATCTCTTAGAGATGCTCTTAGCAGTTAGTCCATATTTGACAACTATTAAAAAAGAACTCTTTTTTATTTTCAAACTTAATTTCAATTACATATTCTCACAATGAAATACTTTACACGTAAATTAAAAAAAAATTATTACTTTTTAATTACATGTTCTCCAAAAATTGACTATTCCGAAATTAAAAAAAATAATAATAAACTATTTTTAATGGTTGTCAAACAGGGGCTTAATAATATTAAGCTTGTGTCTGATTTGGATAAAAATCAAATTTTTAGCTAATATTTTATAAAAATTGATGAAATTTATAATTAAAAAGTGGATAGAAATTGTGAATTGCATGAAATGTGTAGTTGAAATTAATTTTTAAAAAAAAATTAATTTTAAGAAATGAAAGTAAAATAGAGCTTAGCTAGGTTAAGGCTTAATTTGTGAGTTATATAATTAGTTTGACACCCTCTACGTTCAAGTTAATTTTTTAGTGGAGTTCTATCCCCTATGGTTGTTGAAACTTGTATAAGAGCAATTGAGCTTGTGCGCCAATAAAAAAAAAAAAAAATTGACATTGTGTTGATTGCAGAACTTTTTTTTTTTTTTTAACATCTTTTGACTTGAGCCGACAATAATATGTACTACGTTTGTTAGCATTCTCGAAAGCACTCTTTTCGGGAAGGTTCACGCCTTCATGGTATGTCCAGCTCGAATCATATTCATTACATTGGTAGGTCAAGATCTAGCCCTTGTTTGATACCATTTTTCTTTATCTTTTTTTTAATCATACATTTTTCATTAAAATAATATTATACGCAAAACAAATTTTTTTCTTATTTTTTAATCATACATTATTCATTAATTAATTATTTCATAATGCATTCTTTTACTAAAAATTGGAAAACAAACAAGGGCTTAGTTTCTGGATAAATTCGAATCAGAATCAAACCGATCTAGAGATGGCATGATCCAGTTCGGTTGGGTACTGGACCCAAATTTTTTTAATATTTAGTAAAACGAATTGCTGGGTTCAAATTTAATTATGAATCGTTCAAGTTCGGTTCTTGGGTTCGGTCTATAATTAAAATTTTTAATATTTGCAAAGTTACATTAATTTTGTTAACGATATGTTTAATCTTATCTCTTATAAAATAACGTAATTCAATCTTATGTGTCTTTTGCATATCTTTTTACTGAATTTTTCATAAATTTGACTGCTAAAATCACAGAAAGAGTAAGATAGTGCGCTCACAATATTTAAGAGAGACATTGTAAAACTTCAATTTAATTTCTCTAGAACGATGGAAATGGCACTACGGTAGAATAACAAATTTGGGTAAAATTATGTCAATTTGATTAAGTTGACTTGGATTGAAAATTAGAAATAGGAAAATCATATTTTTGGATTTGAGCTAAATTAACTGGTTAGCGAATTTATTTAGGAAAAATAATTAGATTTATTTAAAATAAATTAATTAAAAAATTAGAAAGATTTGATTCCTAATGGGTTCTTTATCTATAACTGAAAATCAAATAAAATCAGTGAGTTTTCCATTTAGATATCCATTAAAATATTTAACTCAAGTAGAATAGCTAGATTCAATCGGTCAAGTTCGAAAGTTTTTGTCCAGCCCTAAATCGATCCAATTCACGAGTCCATCCAACATATATATGTTTGATAGGCATTTTTATGTAAAAATACATTTTGGAATAGTAAATTGATATGAAATATGTGATTGAAAAATAAGGAAATTTTTTTTATTTACGTGTAATATTATTTTAATAAAAAATATTTGATTGTAAAGAAGGCGGAGAAAAATTAATTTTGAAAAAAATGGTCACCAAACCAATCCATCATTTCAGATTAACAGTGCTATAGCAAATAAATTTCCACTGAGGCTATAAATGGGATTCTCACTAGATGCCATATGGGTCTCCCTGTAAAGCAAAATTTGCAGACATTTTTATACCTCTATCCTTACATATTCATCCACCTCAGACAAATCGAGCAACTTAACGTTTCAAACGCTCAAATCTGGCTCCGGACGTATTGAAACGGCTATTCCCACCTCGTTCAACCCGAAGGTCGTCAAAATTACTCCTGCCCTTAACCAGGATTAGGTTGTCATATCGTGGTATGGATCTGAACCTGAACCCATTCAGGGTATGCTCCGGGCTCAAGTTCCTCGGATATTTCATGATCTTCCTCGTATTTTCTATAATTGCTGTCTCCTATTACGCTGTCGTCGTCCTTACCTGGGGTCCACACCTCCTCGACGGTGGTGCAAACTCCTTCTTGTCTTTCACAATCATTGCTGTTTTTCATCTCCTGGTAATTCCGATTTGTTCTTCTTTACGACTACTACGTTTTTACTCTGCCTTCTTCATGTGAACCCTGTTTGAGTTTATGTTAAAAAAAGTGAAAGTCTTTATGCATAGTAATGTTTAACCTGTATTTATGTTATAGTAGGTAAAATTTGGTACCTTCAACGAGTTGAGTGTTTGTGAGTCGCAGTTGACTTGCAATTTTCAATTTTGCATTTGTTGCATAGATTAGGAGAAATTAATGAAATACTTAGTGCTCTTTATTTATATACTGTCAATTGGCATAAAGAACGAAGTGGTAATTAGGGGCTCAATTTGTCAGCCTAGATTTTGGAGTAGCTCATGAACCTATTCGTGTAGATTGAGAAGTGGAATGTTGTCACAAAAAATCTACCCCCATCAGCAGAGCTAGAACTTTTTCTTAAATATTCATTATTTCCCATGGACTCGTATTTATACTCAGTTTGGAAAGAATTTATAAACTATTTAATTTATAAATAGATAGAAACGAGTGGTGATAAGTGGATAGTATTTGCGGGTCTATCAGAATTTTTGGTTGAAAATGAAGTTTGATCATTATATATGATTTATAATTTTTGCAAAAGAGATTTCCACCTGCCAAATGTTTACATTTTAAACAATATCATTTCAGAATGGATGATGCATTCTCAATTTTAACTTTTTTTCCGTTTTATTCTTCTTCACGTGAAAGTTAACACATATGTTCCCACAAAATCTATCAAGAGGGAATTCTGGTTAATGTCTCCAGTGGCCTGGTGCAGCGTGTCTGTTGAATTTGTTTGAAACTTCAATAGTGGTGGTATTCAAGGGGTAACTTTAGTGTGTGTGAGTGTGTGTCAGAGAGAGAGAGAGAGAGAGAGAATTGTGGGATGATTAGACAAAATAAAGGGTAGTTCTTATATTGTAGTTCGTTAGCACTGAGGAAGCTTTGCAACCTTTGGTTCGCTCTAATGTATAGAGAGCAGGAATGGAGTCCTAGAAGTTAAATAGGGAACAAGAATAACAGTTTTCTTTAGAAAAGTCATATGAGTTTCTCCACAAATAAGTTACTTGCCATATTTATTAATAAATTATGAACTAGTTTAGTTGGTTTCAATTCCAGTTTTATGTAAGGTAGTTGGTTTCAATTCCAGTTTTAATAAATTTGGCGTCAGTATGAACCTAGTTATGGAAGGGTCTTAACTTCGCTTAGGACTCTATGGACAGGATTCGTGATAATAGTACTAGATCTTGATAATAGGAAAACGGTCAGTTTGTTTTGTGCAAAGAATATATGTTACGAGTAAAAAATGTTGGAGAAGAAACATAATTTTATTTTTACTGTAAATTGTAACTCTCTCTTCGGTCTTGAATACATAATCATCAGGAAACTTCCTTTACAAATGTAACTCTTAGGATCTTAACAGTTTTTACTTTGATAATTAACTTTTACAAGCGTGTTCATCAACTTTGCAGCTTGTATTGTTAACATGGAGTTATTTTATGGCTGTCCTTCGGGACCCTGGTGCTGTTCCTGCCAACTGGAAAATGTCATCAGAGCAAACTATAGAAGGAAATTTGATGATAAGTTATGATTCTATAGCACTAGCTGATTCAACCACCATGCCATCCTCTTCAGATGGTACAGAAAGAAGACCAGAAATAGGCTATTGTAGTCAATGCCAAAATAGGAAACCACCACGCTGTCACCATTGCTCTGTCTGTAAGCTTTTCACCTTTATATATTCATTTATTTAGGCTTTGAAAATGCTCATGTAGTTCATTCTCCTTTCTGGTTTCTAATTATCTTCTTTATTTTTGTTTTCTCTTTGTTGCTCTTAATTGCTAAACACTGACATAATTGTTATTGATGTAGGACAGTCTATTACGAATAAGACACTAACTTATTTGTTGTTGTAATAGGATTTTACCCCTGTTTGGCCCCCATTGAATTACATTTCGTTACATTCTATTTCTCTCTCCTATTTTCAATCACACAATTTTCCATAAAATAATATTACACGTGAATTGAAAACTTTTTTTTTTTTTTTTCAATCACTCATTTTTCAAAAAAATACTATTCCTCCTATTTTCATTACCAAAAAATGGGGACCAAACAGGGGTTTTATTTCTTTTTTTAATTTGAACTTTTACTCTTTTAGTTTTTTATTACCTTTTCTTTTAGGTTTTTAATTATCTATCATAAGCTATTAGGATTTGGAGATTATGTTGCCTATATAAACAAAGATTTTGTAATTTTTCCATTTCAAAATTGTTACAATAAATTACTCTACAACTTTTCAACTTGATTCTTCTTTATAATTCTGCTTTTGCGCCAAAATTGATATCAGAGTAATATGCTGCCCTTGACTGATTGCCACCTATGGTGCAGTGGCATGCGTCCTCGCGACGACGATCGGAGAATTGCACATCCAAGCTAGGTTAAAATCCTCATTAGTAATGAAGAAATTTTGGAGAATTTTCCCCATTATTGATTAATATTCTCTTCTTCAACCCAACTCAAAATGATCGTTTTCCAAGTTGCGGAGATTGATCTAGGACAATTTTTTACAAATAAGACGGAATTATTTATAGGATTTTATTTCTTGTCTAGATTATGACTTTTATTCTTTTAGGTTATTTATTTATTTAATTTTTAATTACTTATCATGATTAGCACTTGAATTGTAACTCAACTTTGCTTAACACAAGATTATCTGATATAGCATATCATGAGATGAGCTTATAATTATGTCCCTGTGAAAGCAGTGAAAATTTTGGAGCATTATCAAGCTCTCTGCTGTTCCTACATCTTAAAGATGATGATTATCTGCTAATACTATAAGCACGTCTTTTTTGCAGGCCAACGATGTGTTCTTAAGATGGATCACCACTGCATATGGGTTGTGAATTGTGTTGGGGCTTGCAACTACAAGTTCTTTCTCCTTTTTGTGGTGAGAATAGTATTATTGCCCAATTTCAATTATGTATTGTCTTTGTACATAGATACGAAACTTCTAAGAAAGAAGCTTTTTCGCAATTCTTGCCTTGTCATTTCTTTTGTTTCCTTCAGTTTACTCAGCAAATACATACAATAACTAATTTATTCATTCAACCTTTTTATACAAATTTCCATTAACTTTCTGCATTAATATGGGTTCTAACAGATTCATTTCACTTCCACATAGAGGAAAAAGTAGCAATTCTATTATTGGCTTTGGTCTTTAGGTTGAGAAATGTACTTAATGCTTTCAATTATATTATTGCAGACTCTATAAAAAGTCTAGAAAACCTTGGGAATGGTTATTTGAATCCTTTGAATTTCATAAAAGTGACATCTTGCTTCATGATTTGAATTCTATATAAAGGAACACATTTCTTGGAACTTTATTAAAACATGAAGTGCTTTGGTTCCGATTCCCACCGATATTTGTTTTGCTTTTTAGAATTTACAATGTTAGATAGTCCAGATGAACCTTGCACATCTGAGTTAAATTTTACTTGAAGCCTTTTTTTTGCTTCTCTTACAAAAATGCATTAAAGGTTGTGTACTGTTGAGCTTCTCATGGTCAAAGATAATTTTACCGTTATTTCCATTTATTTTAATATCTGGGAAAATGCCTTCCAAGTTTAACTCTATCTGCTTTTCCACATACATATGAGCATTTGGAAGTTATATCAAACTGAGCCATTGCCATTTCACAGTATATAGACTTTGCTTTGCTTTAGTTGCATTAGTCATTATGTCCCCATTTGTCCCCCATTATTTGATGTTATAATTTTTGGAATAGTGAGAATGTGCGGTTGAAAAAGAATGAAAAGTTTTTGGTTTATGTGTAATATTATTTTGTTGAAGAATGTGTGATTAAAAAGGAGAGAGAAAAATGTGTTATAAATTTAATGGGATTCAAACAGGGACAATATCAATTGTTATCTCAAGGTTGCTTTATCAATATATATGAATTGACCATTAAAATGTTCTTTTAGCTTTATACTTTTCTGGAGACAACGATGGACACTCTTGTGCTGCTACCCAATTTCATAAATTTTTTTAAGCATGCCAGTCATCGTTTCACTTCGCCTGGGCAACTTGCTGTCACTTTCCTAGCCTTTGGTAATTTCTCCTCTTGCATCAATGATCTTCATATCCATATGCTGTAGTTACATCCTCATCATTTTTGTGTTTCTTACAGATTCTGTAACTTGATGCAGTTCTGAATTTAGCTTTTGCGCTGAGTCTTCTCTGTTTCGTAATTATGCATTCATCTCTTCTTTTGAGCAACACAACTTCAGTGGAGGTAAACCCACATTAAAATAGCATGGTTTATCTATTTGATGAATAGAATTCTTAAATCTGGGATGCAGAATGTAGCCCTCCAAGTTGCACTAGTGTTCTTAATGTATGGTCTTTCTGCGTCTGATATTTCAGGTTTATGAGAAAAAAAGAGCTGTTCGGTGGAAGTACGACTTAGGATGGAAAACGAACTTTGAGCAGGTCAAGCATATTGAAACTCTTTCAATGCTTATATCAAACTCTAACAAACTTTGAGAAATAGGGCGTCAAACAGAATAGCTAAGAATTCTATTGAAACCTTTCTGCACTTCTGATTTACTATTTTTCTTTATTCAGGTTTTCGGCACTAGAAAGTTATTTTGGTTCTTCCCACTGTTTGCAAAGGAAGATTTGGAGAAAATGCCTGCACTACATGGCCTAGATTTTCCTACGCGCTCAGATATTGAAGCATGAGGAATATTGGTCACCTTTTGTTTTTGCCCTGAAGTATATCTGTTATTTCCTTTAGTGGATATGTAGCATTAGTCTTCACAATGGCCTGTTTTCTAATTCCTGTACATTTTAAAATTGATAAGATCTTTGTTCTTGGATGTTTGTCCTTGTAACATGTATAAAGTTGAAGCTTTTACAAGAAACATATTTATGCACAAGGATATATCTCGTTGTGAACTGAGAAACGTTGATACTCTTAGTTTGTAATTGATCCCATAAATACTATCCATATGCTATCTTTCGATTGTTATTGTTCATGAATATGCACATGATAAGAAACAATTTTCCCTTTATCTTAAAGGTAACTTTCAAATCATTTGTGCTATATATACTGTACAGAATACAGAATCTGATGCATTCGATATTTTCTCCCTAAGATGTCTGCATCTTGCAGTAGCAGCATTATTGTCGTCTCTTTGCATAAAGTCGAAGCCCTGTGAAATGAATGGTACATTGATTTAAGGCACCTGTATATGAATTATATTATAGTTCTACTTGAGTAGGTTACACACTAAATTACATGCTTACTGGGGAAGGTGACATTTTGGTCTTGCATATCTTCTCCTTAACATCATTGCATTCTACTCATTTTAAATCATGCTTATGTTATTCAAGTTGACATATAATATTACTGGTATCATTTACAAGTATTTTGGTCCCACAATAAGCAGAAAGTTTTGTGCTGATACTGATGCGGTGAATGGTTGTACCACAGCTCCTTCCCGGGAAGAAGCCTGCCATAAAGAAATGCTGCCTGAATAAAGAATCGGTTGATCATCTCTCCGGGTCGTGAAATGGCTTCTCCGGTGAACTATCCAGGGAGTTTGGGCAGGAGTTGCAAATATCTGATAGGAAGACTGATAACCAGACTATGAGTGGTGTAAAAAACAGAACGAGACCTGTAGGCACCATCCACTGCTGTTCATTTGTAGGATGATAATAGAACTGCCACCAAGCCAATATTAGCCCTCCCACCATGCTTAATGAAAATGATCCCAAGCAGATTATCCATATCTTCACAATCCTCTGGTATCTTCTGTAACTCTCTTCTTTTATGTCTTCATATGATGCCATCAAGTGCTTAATGTCGAAATCCTTGTCGGGTTTTCCTGAAGCGGCAAAGTTTTGACAGAACGATAAGAGATTAGACGACTGAAAGATACTTCAGCTAAAACAGAAACGGTGAAGGCTTATATATATAAATGTACCTTGAATTAAGCAGGACATTCCAATTGAGCCTTCATCAGACGTGCCTTTTGATTAAAGTTGTTACCAGTAAAAAACAACATCATGAATAAAGAAAGAACATGATTGCGTCTTGGTTTTTGTATACAAGTAGTGATTCATTTTGTTTAGTAAATACTAAATATACCTATCAAACTTTCATTTGACTAGTGGCTTCTTTGTTACGTAAGAAGTTTGTAGGCATTATTTGGAGGAGGAATATATCATAAACAAAGTGAATGTATAAACAAATCGAAAGTTAAATGTTACCGTGTTACTTAAGGAATTTACGTAGAATTTTGGGGTCTTTGGGGCCTAAAACTTGAATAAATCACTTGGCTAAGAATAAATTGAATTAAGAGATAATATTTCACTGATGTAGAGTATAGGGTGCCTAACATATGTTGGTTTAAAAAATAGAGGGATAACGGTACACTTCACTTCCATATTTTAGTCGTTTTTTAGGAAGCTGAAAAGCTAGAAAAAAGTGGAGCTTCGCATGTCATTCATTTCGCACTTGGACATGTAGTTCGTGCAATATCAATTTTCTGTTGCAATATATCATGCAAAGAAAATGCATAGCAATTGAGTCCTTGTGTAGTACGGACCATACTGTACGTATATAATCTTTTACCTACTACTCACAACATGGGATGGGGACCATGGCTAAGATTTTTTAATAACATACGGTGCCCGCGTGTTTGTGTGGGGGAGGGGGGGACACGGTTTGGTAATCCCACTCGATACATATATCTTTATTCTATGTGGTACTCTGTAATCTTGAGAATAATTCATACTGATTAAATTCACAATCTCTTCTTTAGACAATTTCACTCCTTAACTGCCAGAACGTCTTCGAGCAATTGTCTCCTAGTATAAAAAAATAAAGTTTTAAAGATTAGATATCGTGGGGATATAACGCATATGGAAACTTTTTTAAGGGAAGTTTTCTGCTATTAATCTTATGTACGATTATAAAGTCTTTGCTGAAACTCCTTGTTAAAGCTCGTGTCATGTATGTTAGTATATGAATTTAAATAATCTTTTCAATCTTTAATAGCCTCATTCTTTCTAGGAAAATTTGCAGTGGAGGTTCCAACTCTTTTTAAAATGTGCAACGTAGTTCCAAATCTTTAAATCGTAGTAGATAAATTTCAAACCTTAATCTTCTTTACCCACCACACCTCTCCCGTCCATTACATCCTTCCAAACCCTATTGCTCTACCCTACCCACAAAATATTCATCTTCCCCTACCAACCTTTCCTTCCAATTCTCGTGAGCCACCATCAATTCCAACCAAACTCCCAGGACATAGCTCTATGGACCATATTCAAAGTCAATGAAATAGCAACATTGCCATCCGCCACCACTTCCTCTCCGCTACTGTAGTTTTAGTCTCTCCGATCAACCATTCAAATTTCAGTATTTGAAAGATTTAGGGACTGCAACGCACTTTTTTTTAAAAGTTGAGAACCTCCGTTGCAAATTCCTCTTCTTTATAGAATGTTATTTAGTGCATGTTTGGTTCTGATTTTTTACCCTACAAAATCAATTTTTTTATCGTTATTTTCTTAAACCAGTCGTCATTTTTTACATCTTTTCTCATAGGTGAGATTTACTTTTATCTCTAACAGTCAAAAAAATTAATTCTCATAGTTACTACCGAACAAGTCCTTACTTTTTTTAAGTGTCCACTAGATTGCATAATTAAAATTTCAAAATAAAAGGGAATTTGACTCCTCATTTGAAATGCAAATCCAATATCTATGTAATTTTAGTGGTTTCATTTATTATTTCACCATGTTTCTATACATTTCTTTTAAAATAAAGGAAAATGACAATTTGAACAAGAGAGAAGCTAACTTAGAAGATGAGGGAAATAGTAAATCATAATTAGTTATCCAAAAGTAAAAAATAAAGTTGAAAGATACGTACTATTATTGTATTATATAAAATTATATATTTTTAATTATTCTTGAGGACGAGCTAAGTAACCAATATCTTACACGTTTGATTAAAAATTAGTCACAGTCAAATCTTTAGCCTGCTGAAGTAATTCTTGGACCTTGTGATAGCGTTGAAAAATGGGTTTTGAGAAGTTGCTTGAACAGGCCCCACCTCATGTGAGTGTTGGGCATTTTGATGTACAAAAATTATGTACAATTAGTGTTATTCATCTTTAAATATTCAAAATCATTTTGGATGAATGTCAAATTAGAGTTGCAAGTTACTCAATTGAATCTTGAAATAGTGTTGAAATTAAGAGAAATTTCAAATCTGACGTTTGGAAGGTTTGACAATCATTCTTACGAAACATTTTTTTCTTAAACTCATTTTCTGCTACACATTCTCTCAATAAAATATTTTAAACGAAAATTCAAAATTTTTTCCAACTTTTATCACACATTCTCGAAAAATCAATATTTCAAAATCCATTTTCTCCAAAAACTCTTTTTAATTTGACATTTAAGTTTGGACTCAGATTTTTGTTTGGATCCTAATTTGGTCTAAAGAACAGGTATGGAAGGTGAGTCGGGTTAAGTTGTGGGCTTTGACTTGGGCTAAAGTTAAAATATTAACAGGCTGCTTTAAACCACAGGGCCCAATAGCCCATCAATCAAATCATTGTTGCGCTTTCATAACCAACTTAACTCCTAAGGGCCGACCCATAAGGCTGGCGGACCTTGGCCCTGCCCGGCCCATGGCTCAAAATGAGAATTCAAGACAAAAATGAAAGAGAACAAATTGAGTGATCAACCATGTTAATTCACGGTTAACTAGTAGATGATTTTAAGCACGTACAAGTAATGGTAGTGTCCCAATTCCATGGATATCTAAAGTGGATGGTTAGTATGGGACATGCATCAAAAGTAGACTATGCTGAAAGAATAATATTATCTAACACTACTAGTTATAAAACAACAGTCTATGTAACACTAAGTAGTTGATTAAATGAAAAGTAAAATTAAGTTATTCATTTAAGAATATTAATATTTAGCACTACTGGTACTAAACACCAGTATGTCTATTTAATTTCATGTTTGTCTAGCCCTTCACATAAAGGGTGTTTGATAGTGATTAAAACTAGATTTTTTTAGCAGATTATGATAGCAGTTTTTGAAATGTGTAATTAAAAAGTTGTTAGACCCATAAAAGATGTGATTAATATTAATTGTTTGACTTTTACTTAAATTAAAATCGAATTTTAATTTGCACCAAACGTGCACATAATATCACATATACTAGTGCTTAGCACCAGTGGTGCTAGATTTCATTATTCTTCATTTAATATCATATTAGTGCAATTTAGATTGGTGGTTTAACACCAATGATACTAGATAGTAGTACTTATGTTGAAAATTCACAAGAGGCTTAAATAAATACATGAAATGAAGAAGATAAAAAATAATAATAATAATTAAAAAAAATTAAAAAAAAAAAAATATATATATATATATATATATATATATATATATATATATAGAAAATTTCGGAATTAGAGATTGAACATGTATTATTTTAATTTGTTCAAATTATAATAATAAAAATAACGGTGTTTTGGATTTTCTCCGAAGTGAGAAAACGGTGTTAGAATAGACGGAAAAAGAAAAGATGTAAAACTCTCTCGCAGCGCTCCACTCCAAGCGGCCTTACATTTCTTGGGACATCAGAATCTAATCCGAAAGCAAATTTCGTTTCTATACTTGACATTAGAGGCCTCCCAGCATATTTGGAGGCCTTTAGGCTTTTTTCTTGTTCAGTTTTTGATGAAAAGAGGTGTTGTTTCATTGACCTTTTGCATCTATTCTAACATGGGGTGTTTACCTTGACTAAGTCTATATATAAGGATATAACAAAAAGTCATATCTAATCAATGGGATATTAAGTGTACAGAATTTTTCCCTACAAAAGAATTCCAGATACTCACGTGGGGAGTGAGTAAAATAATCCAAAAAATAACTCACCCACCACATGCTCTGTGTATTCTGTAAGGTATTTGTAAAAAAATGTTCTGTACGTGTAGTAGTAGGACTCCTAATCAATTACCAAGCTTCAAATATCCAAATATTCTGAAATTATTTTTTTAAGTGTTCATTGTTCTTAAAGGTTCTTCATTTGGAAATTTCCATTTGTATAGAATTTCAGTTCACAAAATTCTGTCAGAAGAGACACGTGTGGATCCCATGTGTGATAAAACAGGTCAAAAAATATCACGCGCCCAACCTACTATGAGTTGTCTGGAAAAAATTTGTGAACTGAAAGTTATGTAAGTGCAGCATGGTCCTCTTCATTTTAGCTTAATAATAAACCTTCAATGTTAGATTAATTCTTATCCAATCTAATATGACATAACAAACATACTCATATTTGACTAATGTTTATGAACATTTTATAATCGGTAAAATTATTTTTTATTCTCATATTTTGATTTTGTGATATCTACAAATACTACTCATTTTTATCTATTTATAATTTAAACATTTTATAAACACTTTCCTAACATAATGATATTTTGATTTTAACAAATGGTATAATAAAACAAAACTATGAGTACTTAAATTTAATACTATGTTGAATTTTCATTTTCCAACGAATTCAAAGAAGGAAAGCTTGTCGCGGTGCTTATCATTGGTATTCCTTAATTAATGTCTTGTACTTTGGATGTTTCGGATACTTTTAACTTCTAAGCCAATAGGACTTGCATTCTTCTTAAATGAGGGAGTATTTGATGCTGGAGTTGAGTTTTCTAAATAAAAAATTCAAAAATTGAGCATTCTTATCTATAATTATTATTAATAAGAGAATCATATTTTGGACGATTTTTACATCTCTACAATTTAATTATTTCAATAATATCTTATTTTTCGTTTTTCGATATGTAATAAATACTACATAATTATTATCGTTTATAAAATGTGTGTTATTAATCCTCGATTAATTAACATTACATTAATCTAAATTCAAAAATTTTTCACTTGATGAATTTTGAATTATATGAATATAGAGTTATTATAGATGAATTTATTCATATTCTTGTATCTAGAAATTTGAATAAGAGAAATTGAGTTTCGAGAATATAATTTTTTTCTCTTAAATTTCTAGGCTAAATTTTATTTTCTTTAATTCGTCCGAGACTTATCAAATCCTTCAACAAATTGATACTAAATATTACTTTTACATTATTTATAAAGTATTTTAAAATAACGTACAATGCACGTTCAACTTTGACTGGTCCTAATAAGTTGCCATAAAATAGGGAATTTATTATTTCATACACTTCCAGCCGAAAAGATTAAAGAATCTATTTTCTGAAAGATCCGGACTTTTATACTTTAGTGGGTCTATGAAATCTTTTCGATTTTCACTAATGAATCTCACTTATGAAACGATTGGATTGGATAGAACTATGATACTAATTTTGTAGGGAATGAAATCAAATTCTCGCTCTGAATACTTGAGCTTTCTTTAGTTGAAGATTTTATTAACTTTTCGCATCGTACGTCCGCCTCCTTAAAGGGCTTTCCTTGTATTTCTCTTCTACATCCTTCTTGGATGGCATTTTTTCCTTTTTTCTTTCTTTCTTTTTTTTTTTTTTTTTTTGTTTTCCCACTTCTGCAACTCACCTTAGCATTGCATTTTCTTCTCTAAAGTTTCGTACTTTATTACTTCGAACAATATTCTTCAATTGCTCAAAACTTGAAAAAAAAATCATCCCAAATAAACTTTTGATAAATGAATAATGTTATTTATCATTATGATGATGAAACATCGATGATGTGATAGTCTCTGTGGAATAGTATGATTGGATAGTTCAATTTTCGTGAGAAAGAGAGATAAATTTGAGGGATAATGAATTAGTGGAATAATATGATTGTACAGTTCAATTTTTATGAGAAAGAGCGATAAATTTGAGGAATAATGAGTTGCTACGTCATCGATGAACATCATAATAGATAACATGAGTCCTTATAAAAACCTGCATATAGAGCCAAGGTAATGAATGGTCAATACACTGATGCATTGCTGGATTTTAATTAAAAAGGAAAATAATAACCACACAGTCTCAAATGGAAGAAAAGGATTTATCAATAATTGAACTTCATTTATGGATGGAACCCTCCCACATTTCACTGTTGCTTGCCCTACTCTGTTTTATTAACGGGTACGTAGTACACACTATGTCTCCTTCATGTAATATAAAGAACTATCTCAATTCATTAAAAGACAAAAAAAAAATATAAAAAAAAAATCACTAGAAATATTAATTAACATAATAAAAGTGTTAAAATAAAATTATGTATTTTAGAAGATATTATCATAATCTTTATTTTAACATTTTTCATTTTCAAGACAATGAAAAAGAGAAAAAAATAAGAAGGAGCAACAAAATATGCATAACTTTTAATTTAGATGTCAGACTTACGAGAGCGAATACAATTTGAGAGCGTTTATCGATTCTACACATTTTTATCAGATAATATTGTCAAACTTTTTGGGCAAATTCCGGCGTTTATGGGTCTGTTTTGCGTTTTTCTATTTTGAGATGGTTTAAGAGTATTTTTGTCATATTTTGCAATTTTTTTTTTGTTTTATTTGGATTTGTGTACATGATTAGAGTTTCGTTTTGATTACAATTTATTTATTTTTAATCTTTAAATACATTTTAAGGTTGTTACATTCATTTTTATTGATTAATAATATTTAATTTTTCTCGTTATTTGATTCATCCTTTTAATTCTCATGTCCGTTTGAGTGAAATTCAAACAAAAATTCGTTCACTACGAACGAGACTCAATTGCATAATAGTTACATTATGACTGCAAACTAAGTGATTTTTGCTAAATTTGAAGGATGATAAGTGACGAAATTTGACAATCATGAATTAAAATTCTAGTAAAGAAAATTAAAGTAAATTATTATTCACGTTTTCGGTTTCTCTTTAAAGAAAATTTTCGGGTATTAACAACTGAATATTAATAAATAACAAATAAAGAAGCCGCGTCACTGTGAGGACCCCACATCACATTCCTCGTCGTCGTCGTCTTCTTCTTCTTCTTCATCTTCATCCTTTTGTCTAAAATCATTTTTAGTTAAGATTAAATGCAGGTTTTTCATTCGTCTTAATCTTCTTCCTTCAAGATTTTTATTGTTTCTGTCGCATTTAGATTTTGAATTTTTTTCTGTAAAAGGAGAGAATGAGCAACTCAGTGCCTGGTACTCGGACCCGGGTCGGGAAATACGAGCTGGGGCGGACTCTGGGAGAAGGCAGCTTCGCCAAGGTCAAGTTCGCCAAGAACAAGGAGACAGGTGATTCTGTCGCCATAAAAATCATCGACCGGGACCGTGTGCTCCATCACAAGATGATCGAACAGGTATGCTTTACATGCACGCATGTTTTCGTAAATGTATGTATTTGTTTAATCGAAATAATAATTCTTTACTAATTAAAAACGGATTTGAAATTACTACTTTTATGAACTTATGATAGCTATGATAAATTATTAATTTGTTTGGTGGGTCACATGAATTAAGAATTGATTCTAGAGAAGAAAGGATTAAGTAATCAAATTGTTTTATTTTTATTTTTATTTTTATTTTGGTTTCGTTGCAGATAAAAAGGGAAATATCCACGATGAAGATGATCAAACATCCGAATGTTCTTAATCTATTTGAGGTACTGTGCAATCACTTTTTTCTTCACTTAAATTTTATTTGAACTGACCTTAGCTATTGAATTATGTGTAAACACCTATTTTTTGGGTTTAGGATTGTGGGACTTTCTTCTTTTTATATTATGCACTGAATGCCAATATGGTCAAATTAGCTCCAAATCAATTTTTGTAGACCTTGTCTTCATACCTCGAACCATAGTTGTTGTCCATGCCAAAAGGAATGTCACAAGTTTTTACTTCAGAAAAAACAGTTTACTTTCGACGGAGTCCTTAGGTTCTTCGGTTTCATTCTCATCCCATTATTTGTTTGAAGTCTAAGTTTTAGACTTCAATATCAGCTCCTCCTTATGTAATTTCATAATGGGTATAAAATTGTGAAAATTTTGCATGACTAACTTTTCTTTGATGTGTTGCACATGGAAAAATTTTGTCTATTATTTACTTGCAATACGACAAGCAAAATAAGTATGTCATCAAATATTTGCATACAAGTAGTTCACTTCTGGTGCCTCAGATGGCACAGGTTTATGTATTCTTTGATTTTTCTTATAATAGGTTATGGCAAGCAAAAGAAAGATCTACATTGTTCTTGAATACGTTGATGGAGGCGAACTCTTTGACAAGATAGTAAGTTTCTGTCAATTGAATTTTCTATATTTACTTCTGCTTTACGTGCTACTTGAAGCATATTAATCTCCATCCCTTTATTGTTCACGACAATGTATGCTATATGGTTCTACATAACTTTTGCGATTTAAGAAGAAATTTGTCTCACTTGCTCTTCCATTTCTAGGCTAAATATGGGAAACTTGAAGAAGATGCAGCAAGGAGATATTTTCAACAGCTCATTAATGCTGTGGATTACTGCCACAGTAGAGGTGTATACCACAGAGATTTGAAGGTCCAACGAACCCTGTGCTTTATCTATTAATTGATGCATTTTTCTCAAGTGCTAAAGTTTTATTCCTGCATGATAATTTCACATTCTTGACACTCTGACCAACACTGGAACTTATCCAAAATTTATCCTTCACAACCTCATGTAATCCAGTTTATCAAAAGTCCAACCGTACCAATTAGTAGCGTACATCATGGATGGTACCCTAGGTATCTTCCTACCTTTCAGTTACCTTAAAATCATCATAATTCTATGTTAGCATCATAGTTGTCAATAACGTATCCAATTTATCACTTCATTGCGATATATGCTATATTAGTAAATGCAACTTCATTTTTGTTGTGGCCTATATCATAACACCATCATTCTCAATATTATAATGAAGTCGTGCTGTTATCAATAGAGTTATCGCATGATCACATCAAGATAGTCCACGTTCACAAAATCATATGAATAAATTATAATCATACATTATCATGTACAAATTATGGAAATATAATAATTCTTAAAATTTCAAAATGCATGAATATTTGTGCCCACTAGAGTGTGTGGAACACCAGGGTATTGCATATATATTGTTATCTTGCATGACTACCTCTTCTATCTGTCTCAAACTCTAAACTTTGCAGCCAGAGAATCTATTGCTGGATTCTTATGGTGCTCTTAAAGTTTCAGACTTTGGGTTAAGTGCACTTTCGAAGCAAGTGCGGGTAAGTGATAGAATTCCTGTCATTAGCATTATCTATATTGACTGTTTGGGTATTAACAATTTGATATCACTCAAGATCTAAGTACTTAGTCAAAAAAGACAAGCTGCTTCAAGTGATAGAAAGCTATTTGTTTGTCAGGAAGTAGCTTTTTGGTTGATCAATCTAGTGACAATGCACTCAATACTTTTTCTGAGGTTGATTTTGACCTTTATGTGCTCCTCTGATCATACCTTACCTTTTTGCAAGTGAAAGAATTTCTTTTTTATTGTTCCATTCATTTTCGAACGTGCCTGTTTTGGCGTATAGTTCAAGAGAAATTAGATCTTCGGTCCATTTCAATTTGATTGGTGTTAATTTCTTGTTGGGTCCCTATTATGGAACTTAAACTATTTCTATAAGCCAGTACTCTGTCTAGCTTGAAAAAAGATTTATCAGCCAATCACGGATCTAACTCTCACTTTATTCAAAGTCAGGATCTAACTCAATACTTAAAAGGCTTTTGTTCCATTCATTTTCGAACGTGCCTGTTTTGGCGTATAGTTCAAGAGAAATTAGATCTTCAGTCCATTTCAATTTGATTGGTGCTAATTTCTTGTTGGGTCCCTATTATGGAACTTAAACTATTTCTATAAGCCAGTACTCTATCTAGCTTGAAAAAAGATTTCTCAGCCAATCATGGATCTAACTCTCTCTTTATTCAAAGTCAGGATCTTCAAATGTATGTTGTGTTGTAAGTAATAGTCAAAATCGAAGGAGTTTTCTCCTCTTTTAAACTTCCCGAAGCAAAAGCCTTTTAACCATAGTTGGAATTTCCTCTATATTTATAGGGATTCAAAGTTAATCATTCCCGTATATGCAATCTAATTCTTTCTGTCTCTGTGCCCCCATTTAGCTCCCTAAAGATTTTTGTTAAAGTTATCACAGAACCTTCATACAACTTGGGGTACTTGAAAATGCTTGAAGGAGCAGAATCTTATTCAAAACAAACATTTTCATTATGTCTCTGAAGGAGCTTTCCCAGCTTGAGTACTAATGACTAATGGAGACTCTTCTTTTATATGGTTCAATTTAATCTTGTGTTCAGTACTTTGCAAAGACTAGGATGAAATAAAATTACCTGGTTCTTAAAAGTGAAATTGACTTTTGAGTTATTCATATATTTGAAAGGAAAGTTTTATTCGTGTTAGTGCTCTCCAAATTTTCAATGCAACTATTGCTTATGTCAAACAAATATCTTTTTATCATAATTCAATTGTTTAAACTTTATCCTGGAATAGTTTATACAAAATTTTGCCATTTCTTGGGCACTATAAGTCTACAAATAAATGATGAAGGAAATCTCATAATCTTTTTCTTATAGGCAGATGGGCTGCTTCACACCGCCTGTGGTACACCAAATTATGTTGCACCAGAGGTAACTCTTATTATTATGTAACTGAGAAGTTGAAACATCAAATTTCTCTTGTTCTTTTCTTCCATTTGAGATATATTTTTGCCTCAGGTGCTCACTGATAAAGGCTATGATGGTACATCAGCTGATGTATGGTCCTGTGGTGTCATTCTCTTTGTTCTGATGGCTGGATACTTGCCCTTTGATGAGTCGAATCTCCCAGCTTTGTATCGGAAAGTAAGTTTCGAGAGATCACTTCTTGTTTCAGTATCCAGGATTTTGTATCGATATGTTATTTGACTAATTGTTGTGCCAGATTTATAGGGCTGATTTCTCCTTTCCATCATGGTTTTCATCCGGTTCAAGGAAGCTAATTAAGCGAATTCTTGACCCGAATCCACTCACTGTGAGTTCGTAACCTGTAATTTTGTTGTTCTTACCATTCAGATAGCTTTTCCAGTCCCAAATTCTTCACCACATTTCCAAACAGTCCAGTTCTTATTCACAATTCACTGTTCAGTATTTTTTTATCTCCTCTTTTCTGAGTTATTCTTATACACATTCCAAGGGATGTTCTGTATATTGTAAGTTTAATTGCATCTTTTTTGCAGAGAATAACTATTCCCGAAATTCTAGTAAATGATTGGTTCAAGAAAGATTACATGCCAGCGCATTTTGGACAGGAAGAGGATGTAAGTCTTGATGATGTGGATGCTGTCTTCAATGACTCTGAGGTAAGCTATTAATTCTCAAGCCACTGGTGATGCAACCTGTCTTCTAGATCTGCTCATCAAAAGAGTGCAAATGGGACATTTTGCACATCGTCTTATTAAACCCATATCCATCAAATGGCTACCTCCATTGCTTGTAGTCTGATTTTGGGAAATAGAGGTCATCAATATTCTTGAGTTTGAACTATGTCAACTGACTAAATACTCAACAAAAATTGAGTAAAGTCAGTCAGTCTTGAAAATTTGTGACACTTTTTCTTTGGCAGGAGCATCTTGTTACAGAAAGGAAAGAGAAACCGGTCTCCATGAATGCCTTTGAGCTTATTTCTAGGTCACAAGGATTCAGTCTCGAAAATCTGTTTGACAGGCAGATGGTATGTCAGTTGAAGTATATTTATCTCCTTTTGCTGTGCTTGTAGATGAGTGCTTCGGTTGGGTGAAAATGGAAATACTATCCAAAATATAAAATTTTCAAGAACATTATTTTGGATTTGTGTGAAATTACTATTGTAGAAGACCATCTCTCTCTCTCTCTCTCTGTGTTTATGTTCCCCTCCTTAGCAAACTTGTTGGAACAACTAGGGCTCTAGTTTACTTAGCTTGTGTTACTTAGGCTCGTGATTAAATAAATATCCATTCATGTTATTAAGATATATTTCTGCACTTCTATTCATCTTTAAGTGAGATCATCTGGCAAAGTAATAGGTTTCATGTTTATCTGGGATTAAAAAAATACAGGGTCTAGTGAAGAGAGAAACTCGTTTTACTTCCAAGTGTCCTGCAAATGAAATTATGTCAAAAATCGAGGAAGCTGCTAAACCTTTGGGTTTTAATGTTCACAAAAGAAACTATAAGGTACCAACAAGCCTTATCTGGATGGAAGGATACCATCAATGCTAATGCAAATTCAAAGAGATAATTTCAGCCTTGTGTGACAATTTCTCATTTCTAACTATTGCAGATGAAGTTAAAAGGTGACAAGACTGGAAGAAAAGGTCATCTTGCTGTAGCTACAGAGGTATTAACTTGATTTTGGCTATCAAAATTCCATATAGGTTCAATTTTAAATGAATAGCTCGGTAATAAGGTATTTTATCTCATTAAACTAGATAAAAGAGGATCCATATTAGTAATAACTTTTGGTTTTGTGGTAGTTGTAACAATTCAATGATTCATGGTCTGTAGATGGCATGGAAAAAATGATTCTAAGGCTCATACTATGTATTTTTGTAAATAATTAGATAATGGGGAATAGACTTGAGAACTTGCATAATTACCTCTGTTGACATTATTGTCTTTTAGGTTTTTATGTTGTTTTCTGAAAGATATTGTAGCATAGCTCTTCTCATGTTGTTAGTCTCACTTGGAAAGAAATAGAAAGGGGAGATGAAGGATATGTACCATACCATACAAGGTCATGCCTAAAAATAGAAAAATCATCATAAAAAGGTGCAAGCCACCGAAAGATATAGAGAGAAGGAAGGAAGAAAGCAAAGCTCCCTTTATTAGTCGTTTCTATTAGTGGTTTTTTAGTTTGTCCAAGTTTGATTTGGTAGTGAATATTAATTAGTTATATATTGGGTTTGTAAACTTACTAGCGCGAGGACTATATTAATCCTTGTAAGGCTATAAATTCATGAAATAAAGTTTTTTAGAATTTAAAGCAACAGTGCCTTGTGTGATGCAACTCCTAAATCCTTGAGCCATATTCTACATGCCATAAAAGCATATAGGTAAGGGAACAATCACTTATTATTTACTGTAATATCTTGGTATCAAATGCTTGGCTCACTGTTAGATTCAGGAAATAAATTGGTATAATGATTTTTTACTGTTATTGACATCTCTACCTTCTTGTGTACATACTTCACATTTCATTATCCATACTTTGTGAATTCTTTGTTGTCAAACATGTGTAAGAATTACTATATAGTGTTGTTACATCGAGAACCACCATCTCTTGGCACTCAATTTAGGCAGGAAATGCTTCAGTAGCCTTTAGAACTCCTGTGAAATTCTTATGTTTGCACCAAGAATGCTGGCTAATTTATATATGCAAACTACTTTCTGGATATAGCACTTGAAACCTTCTTAAATAACGCTTCGTCATGACTACGAAAAGAAGCTGAAAATTCATTAAGGAAATAAAGATAATTGGGTATTCAGCAGCAGATTATTGATATAGTTTTAAAGGAGTTCTTGAATTTTTAATCCATTTTCCGTCTGTTTTTCCAACTTGGTAATAGTATTAAATACTTGGTCACTTGCAATTTTTTACTTCAGGTTTTTGAGGTGGCTCCTTCTGTGCATATGGTGGAACTACGTAAAACTGGTGGTGACACACTAGAGTTTCACAAGGCATGGCAATGCTTAATTTCTAGACGTCCTTAAAGTACATTTATTTCAAACGCCAAGTTGACCAACTAATGAATTTTTTTGCAATGTCTAATTATTTTGCAGTTCTACAAGAATTTCTCTTCCGGATTGAAAGACATTGTGTGGACCTCTGAGTTAGAAGCAGAAGAAACAAGGTGAAGAGTTTATATCCCTTCCCCTTTCCTCTTCATGTATGATACATGTGGATACCGTTTTCACAATTTTTTTTCTTTTTTCTCTGTCAGATCATAGCAACTTCTCCATGCAATTGATTGATTTCTTGGATTCGCCAAGCGAATTGCATATTTAGTCTAAGAAATCTAAGATAGCAAGGTAAAAGGACAACAATAGCTCTTAATTTATACGAGCCTATGGGATGGAAATATAGCTCAAGTGCTCTGTTATGTGAGGTATTAGTTCAATATTCTTGGTTGTTTCAGTTTTCTCCTTACATCCTTTTATCATTTTGAATTGAATTCATTGGGATGCTTTCTTGGGAGTTATTATATATATCATATATCGAATATATTTAGGACATATTTGATCGTTGTTCTCTCGCTAACAATCTCCTATATACCACCGTGTTAAACCCCTACAATTCTAATTTAAGGCGCCCTATGTTTGAACTTTTATTTTTCCCCGATTATTTACAATTTTGTTTAAATTCTATAGGACTAATTT